TAGAAGAATAGAAAAACTAAAATACTATGAAAAAGGTTCCCCAACGAAACCAGGGTGGTGTTATTGCCACAGCCACTACTGTTAATACCACAACTATTTTTTAATATCTTAAAAATATATAAAATATATTTAATATTTATTTAATTAATATTTTATATATTTTTAAAAAAATAAAAAAAATAGAAGAATAGAAAAACTAAAATACTATGAAAAAGGTTCCCCAACGAAACCAGAGTGGTGTTATTGCCACAGCCACTACTGTTAATACCACAACTTTTTTTAATTATTTGACTATTATACCCCTCATTTGAATCCAACTTGCACCAGTCACCACCTTCTCCGCGTGGGTTAATGGTCAATTAATTAAAAAAGCTGTGGTGTTAACCTGTGAAGCTGTGGCAATAACACCACCCACGAAACCATAGTTTCCTCTTCCTTTCCACGAAAACGGCATTAACAAATCTTCGCGGGTTTGGTGCACTCCTCTTTTTTGTGGAGATTAAACTTTTAACTAGCAGCCCCTGATGAAGGATATATTCTCCAACCGAAACAGCTGACTTTTATTGGGATATCCTTACTCCAAGATCCTTTTAGAAAACGGTTCTTGCAAGATCCTTTTAGAAAACGGTTCTTGCAAGATCCTTTCTTGATTTCAGCAAAGAGTGCATATTCTTGACTGTATAACGTCTAAACTCCACTTGCTCATATCTGGTTTTCCGACGCACATTTGATTTGACAGCTGTGGAGAATATCAAGAAGCCAATAATTTAAAATAAGTCAATAAAAAATTAAAAAAACGTGATATTTATCATTTAAATTAAACAATTTTTATATTTTTAATTCAAAAATTAAAAATTAACAACAAATTATTAGCCTCATTCAAGCATAGAATAGGAAAACAAGTAATAGTAAAATTATGAAGTAGGCGTCGCATAGATCTCATGACAAAGTGTTAAGGTCATGAATTTTTAAATGTTATCTATTAAAAATATTGATTAACTCTATTTAATTTAATTGTTAAAATTAATCACTAATTGTAGTTGTTACTTGTACCATTATATTACGGATTAA